GGATGGGGTGGTGGCAGGGAAAGCTGATCATTGCAAAACAGTTTAAAAGCTGAGATTTTAGGTTAGGTATCGAACATAACTTGTCCTAGAATTTACAATTCACATTCACCAAAACAGCTTCAAAACAGATTTCAAACCAGATAGCTTATGGTCACCTTAGACACAGAAACAGTACAGCCTTTTAAAGAACAAATAATAAATATTAGTTTTCCTCTATGCTCCAGCTTTGGGGTATGGCAAAGAAACAGAGAAGTTCCCCTTTGCTGTCTCTTGACTTAACCAACACTAACAATTTAGAGACACCTCTGCTCACTTGCAACATCTCACTGTTCCACCTAAGAAACTGTTCTTCTAATAACTGAGCCACTGCTATTTTTAATGTGCTATTTGAACTGAAGAAATAAGACGTATTAGTATGCTTTGTGCAGTTCTTTCCAGTAGCCAGAAAGCTGCTTCGCAGGCAGCACATGTATCACCAGCCAGAGGAAAGTCCTGTCAGTTGTGGGCACTGGGCATATTGTTCACACCCAGCACAGCAACTACATTAAAAAGGAGGAGAACAATATATTAAGAAGATGAAACCAAAATTTGAAGTTTCCAAAAGGACCTTTTCTGGAGATAAAAATCAAAATTATTTCCTTAGTACCCAATGGGAAATTCTGCAGTGATTAAACAGTAAGAGTTTAGCATAAGGTAGAGGGCTAGACAAATTTCTCAAGCTTGCCTTTCTTTTTCAAAGCACCTCTTTATACAAAGCAAGCAACAATTCTCCTTAGCAGCTAAGAAGGAAATCAGTGCACAAGGCTTAAAAGGAGATGCATGAAGTCTTGTGGTTGCTGGCTCAAGGGCAATAGTGATTAACACTGAGAATCTCAGCTGCCTGAAACTGGGCTTTGCTCTGCTCTGCCTGCTCCAGAGCAAGGAAAAGGCTTGCAAGTCTTGAAAGCAGCAAGGGTACTTTATTCAAAGCTACTTGTAAACCCCAAAGCTCATAATTGTTTCCATTCTTGCTGAAAAGCAAGCTCATAAAACACACCCAGAGCAAGAGTGGAAGCCTTATGGAAGGGCTGCTCTGCTCTTTAAAGGTCAGGCAGACGTTACGGTGTTTCAGAGGGTCAGGACAGCTCCACCAGGAATGGTAAGTTCCAATAAAGGAAGAATTCCTCACATATGTCAGCACCCTGCCTTTTGGCAAAGCCACAGATGGACTCTCATATTTGAGCTTTTCCACTAATCTTGTTTTCTTCCAGGATCTCCCATCATTATGTCCTGCCCCTGGAAAGTCACAGCAAGTTGCTCGCCTGTACAAAGCACAGCTGAAGCCTGGACCTCTGATGAGTGTATCAGAAAGTTTAGTATTTGTGAATAGCCACAAAAGAGGCACCATCACTAATCTTGCCACAAACCAGAAGACTAATTTAGAGCCCCAGCAAGCACTTCTACCCTAATCTTCTCCGATTAAGAAGGTATTGCACAAACATGATAAAAGAACCAAAGATATCCACATGGGTTGTGTTCTACTGAACAGCACAACTTTATTTTACTACTTCTCCTACTCAGTTTTATTCTAGGCTTTCTAGCTTGACTATTTTGCATCATTATTTACTACTTCTATAAGCTGTTTCCTGTCTTGTCATTCTAGTTAAGTAAACTCCTTCGCCCGTCATGCTTTCCATATATTTTTTTTCTTTCATGTATCATTTATTTGCATGTCTCAATTGGTATCTGACCTTTCTAAAAATCACTTGATCTACTGCTTGCTTTTTTCCTGAAGAACTTTGTTACGTTGCTGCCCAGACCCCAGCACCCTCAAACGTTTTTGCAGAAGGCATACTCATTTCATTTGAAATACAATTCCATTTCGGGTAAGCTAATACTGTTTGAGGTTTTTTTATTTAAAAAAAAAAAAAAAAAAGAGTTTGTCAAACCACACAGTAAGAATTAAACAGAACACATAAAGCACTATGTAATTCTGTGGTCCCCCACCACATTACTTGGATCAGCTGCAGCACACAAGACAAGGTTTATTGCATTAAAAAACAATATTGAACGCTGTTTTTTAATGTACATACTACAGATTAGACAACTCAATGAAAGAAGTGAAATCTCAGTTTCATTCAAAGGCTTTTTTAAAATACTGTTGGAAAAGTCCTTATGGACTTCTGCTCAAAATGTTATGTTTCAAATAGCAAAGTTGGGGGAGTTACTGGTCAGATACCACCTTGGCTGCTGGGTACTCACCGAGTTTGGGTAGTTCAGATAGCAGATCTGACAAGGCATATCCTGGGCTGATGATCTTGTGTTCATCTGGCGCGTTCGAGACTTTTTACTTGGATTAATTACATGACACTCTGCAAAGAGCTTCTCCAAGTTGCCATCAAAGTACCTGCATAACACACACAAGAAAATGAAAGTTTAACTGCCCTCCCTGTAAGTCATTTTTCAAATTCTTTTTAGGAGTTAAATGTACAAAGTTGGATTTAATACTTAGAAAAACCCTACACACCCATTACCCCGTTACTTTTAACAAACTCTTCACTAATACAACACAACACAGCCCTGACCACAGAGATGGATATTAGACAACTACATCATTTCAGAGGTTTGGGCTTGAATTGAAAATTCAAGTACCTTCAATTCTTCAGCTGCATTTTAAGTAATTCATGATTCCCTGCAGCGATTTCTTTGCATTAAAGCTCCAGGACAGGAAACTAAAGCAAGAATGTCTTTCTTCAGTCAGGACACTTTCCTACAGCATGGGTTTGATGCCCCCAGGTTCAATTCTCTTTTCAGCTTAAGCCTTCCATTTTTCCCTAATATTCTAATCACCAAAACATTAACGAGGAGGCAGGAAGCAGCAATCAGTCATGGCTCGTGATTCAGCAGGTCCCTAGTTCCTGTACTTCATGTTTTCCTCCGTGTACTCAGTCTACATTAAGTGTGCCCCAAAGAGGTCCTGACTTCAATTTCGGCACTTCCTTCTCTGATCTAAGGAGAAATGCATCAGCAGGGTCAGACACCTGGTTCAACTGATGGAGCACTTACACATGGTCGCTGATCTCCCATTAAGGCAACTGCAGGACTGTTTCACACACTTCAGGCATCTCCACAGTTTGGGAACAACTGCTGCTGGATCAGGACTCTGATCTCCAGTTAGGCCAGTCTTCAATTTCACACTAAACTTCTTGCCCATGTCCAAACCCTGCACAATCCATCTCTTGGGCCAAAATCCTAGCCATCTGAGTATCTTTTGTCTCCAGTCAACCTGAAATATTTTAACAACCTCCTAAGAAAATACAATTCCAGGTTTACAATGCTTCTAAAGATTACATATCTCATGGAAAGGAGGATGCAAAATTGGTTGGGGGGAGATGAAAGACCACTTTCTATTTCCTGTTCCCTTAAGGAAAAAAGTACTGCTTTGTTTTGCAGTCTTACAAAAAGCTCTTCAACTTGGTGAAGAGGACCAGTTTTGAAAGAACCATGAGTAGGCAAGTCAGCCTCTTCCCAGTATCAAGACACCACATATCTTTCTCCAGCCTGCAGCAGCTTCAAAGAACTAATCAAATCTGCCAATTAACCAAGCTGACCTTGCCTGCATGTACATCCCATTCAATGCCAGTAAACCAGTATTTCCCCCCCACCCCATCATCTTCAGCAAGTTAAATCCAAGTAAGGTGGCACCTACCTAGGAAAAAAAACCCACATTTGACCATAGTGCAGTCATTTACACTCAAGACCAGCAAATTTACTCCCAGCAGACAACTGCCCCTGTAGCTAAGTACACAGGCAAGGCTGAAGTTAGAGTCTTTACCAGGCATATATTTAAGGTCATCAAAAAACAAACAAAAAAAATCTGCTGTCCACCAACAGACAGAAGAGAACCAAGATTTTCTGATGGGAAAGAATTTACTAGGTGTGTCTCAAAAATGTGGGACTAGGCCTGTTATACAACATGTAACCAAAATGCCTCTGGCTAGATGGTCTTATCCTGTAGTATTCCCCAAAAGTCCCAAATCCATAGCACGTCTCCTACAGCACTACCTACCAACAAGACTTGACTTACAGTTAAAAAGGGTTAATTTCACTCCTGGTTCACATGTTTCTTGATGCAGTTCACATGCTTTAGATCTTAATTTTCAAGACAGAGGATTCTGAAGGTAGTGGTGAATCCTGGCATTGCAGCACACACAAGGCTTTGCCACTGTTCTTCAATGTTAGCTCAGGGATTTAACTCAACTAAGTTATTTTGTTTGCCTTCAGGATTACTTTTATCTAGAAAATTTTAGCAAGTGAATTCAGTGCAGTCCCATTATAGGCAGTATTTGTTTACTGAGGTGTCATGGATAAATATTAACTCCACAAAAGGTGTTCAAATTGTTCTTAACATGCAGCACAATTGGTGTAGGACATCCTCCGTTTGAAAAGAGCAGACAAACAGTTGAGTGTGATGTTTGCAAAGAAAATAGTTTTGAAGACAAATACTATGATGCAACTTTAATACTGGCATTCGTGGTCAGCTAAATGCTTATGGAAATACCAGAGATATTTGTAATGGTGGGCTGGTTTTAAGGGTGCATATCCACATCAGGAACTTGACTTTACCACTTGCACCAGGCAGTCCTATTTTTACAAAATCTCTGCACAAGCTGCTCTGAGCCATGATACCTACTGCCCTACACCAAGGAATATGGACAGAAAGTCACCAGCAACTGCTCTTCACCTGGAATTACCTATCCCCTCTAAATACCAACAGGTAACTAACTTGGAACAACCATTTCCTTCCCAGGCTTTCAGTAGTTTCCCAATAACAAATAGAAAATAAGCGATTTGACATTGTCTGTTTCTTGGGGCTAACAGCTAGTGATAAAGGTAATTCAAATGAGATGCATTGACTGGAGTCCTTAACCAACTTAAACATTTCCAAAGCACCGATATACTGCAAAGCATTCAGGTGCTTGCATTTTGGTACAAGAGCCACAGCTCATATTAAATGGTTTCCATCTCAGAAGTGCCTGGTCTCTCCTACGCTTACACAGGAGAAGCAAACAAGGCAGCTGAGAGACTCATCCAGGGCCATGCAGAACAGGGAGAAAATATAAATCTAAGAAAAAAGGCTAAGTTTTGCCTTTTTAACTCTGCTGCACTCTTCTTAGAGTAGCCACTCTGCTCTTTGGGATTGCCTCTTGTAAACCTCACCAGTGGTGAAGAGAAACAGGGTATCAGGTATTCCTCCTTCTCCATGCTGGGCCCACAAGTTATTTTCTTTTCATGCATTTGCTTTCTTTGCTGTGCCAGGACGTGCTGAGCAAGTAATTTCCACCACTATTTGCATGTATGTGTCTTGGACTTAAAATCATGCTGTCACTGGGCAGTAAGGCAATAGGAACTCCAGAAAATGCAGAAGAAAACCTGGATCTCCCTGAAAATACACAGGTGCAGTGGGTACTCCAGAGTAAAGTCCAGCACCTCTCTAACTGCTCCACCACTCATGCAAACACAACAAGGGCCCAGTCAAAAGACTGTTACAGTTCCTTCAATGGTTAGGAACGACTCTTAATTCCTATGATCATGCCTTTTCCCCCACTTGTTCAAGCATCAACACAGACCATCCTTTTAAGCAGATCTCCCTTTGCCCTTCCTGTGTTCTTCCATTGAAGGATTCACAGGCAGCAGCTCTAGCACCCTTTTTCCCTGTTTCCCAACAGAGCAGATAAGCTTCTCGCCTAAGACTTCTCCACTCTTCCATCTCGGCAAACATCAACCACCAGTTTTCATTTCCATTCATCCTCCTTGAATCCAAGAAGGCCAAAACAAATGCAATCCCAGTTAAGATTTCACCATGACCTCATACAATTTCACCTACATTTCTCCTGCAGATACCTCACCTAATGCATCCTAAGCGATGTCTACCTTTCCCCAGAGCTCCTTCATATTAGCAGCTCCATTTTAACCTCTACTAGAAACCCCACATTCTTTTCCATCTCTCTGTTGACAAGACCTATTATGACACTTTGTACCATTTTCATTGCTAAGATTCTCCCAGCTGTTTTTTTTCCTGTATGATGTCTGGATCCTCCTCTAAACCAAATGCCTCCAAACACATTCATGCCAAGTCATTCATTAACACTAACAAATATTCACCCCAAAATTAACCAATAAGGGACTTACTAATAGGTTCCATCTAGTCTGCTACTTCCCTTTCGAACAAAGTAACTCCAGACACACCATACTAACAGCTGAACCTAGTGATTGCCCCACATTTTAAATCATATAGTCGTATGCCATCATCTCTGCTCTGAAATGTGGGAGAAAAATCCTCTAATTCCCTCCTCACTTCCTTCGTAACTCCAAGGTTTTTCATTTTTCCTCAAGCCACCCTGCAAGTTCTCACTATTAAAGGGTTGCTGCTTGGTTGCTCAATCCTTATTTTCATCTTAGGGAGAAGCACAGCAGCTTTAACAGACTTGGAAATCCTTTATCCTCTTATCCCTTTGCAATGCAGAGATTCAGTAATTCTAGCACTTCTGATACTAAAGAAATGTTATTGTCTATTCAACATTAGACTCTTTGCTCAATATAGCTGACTTCAACAACTGGTTCTATTAGTTTTTCAAAATTCATTCTCTTCATCACAGACCAAGTTGTTTTCTCTGCTACTGTAAAATGAACAGACACACCAGTGAATTATTTTCAAGTTCTTCTAGAATTTCTTACTGCTTACCAACACCAAGTCCATAACAGTATCAAGTCTTTTTGGAAGAGGGATCAAGGCGACAGCTTCTTTATTTCTTCAAAATTTCCTCCTGCTATTGGTTAACTGCCTAATCAGAATTTTCTAGACATAATCAAATCCTATCCAAGGGAGTATCAAAGATAAAAAGCCTTTTCACTGAAGAAAAAAAAAAAAAGGCTTCTAGTACACACTTTGGGATATTTACTTTAGTGAAAGAGCATTTGTGAATGTAAGAGAATCAGTATACTCGCAGTAAAAGACATCTTCATACCAAAATGCCTTCCATACACAATTTTTCACCTGTTCAGCCTCTGCTGAATAACGTTAAGTACTTATTTGCTCAAAAGAAAGCAGACAGCCAGGCACCTACAGAGATGAGTCAGACCTTGAATGCAAAGTGAAGAGGCTATCTGGGCTAGCAGTCAAGCCACTGGATTGACCTGGCATCTGTCCTCTGCTCAGAGGGAAGGCGGACATGCAGCCACCAAGATAAGCACCTATGAGGGACTGCAAAATTACCAGGGGAAGGCACATAAAGCAGGAGAGCTGCGTTTTAGTCTCCTCATCATCAAAACATGAATTCTGCTTTTGGACACAGTAAAATAATTTGTGCTTCACCAGTGGATACAGCACTTTTTCAATGGTGACTATTACTTCATGATAAGTGGAATAAATACCTGTAACATATCTGCCCCCTTAATAACACCATGCAATTATTCCATGACAAAGCCGACACAGACAATAATATTATTAAAATTATTATTAATACTTATTAAAAATATGCCTAAACAATACAAAAAAAGCAATGAAGAGGTCATGTTCTAAAACATGGAAATTTTCATCTCACGAGCTCAGACCTCATCAACCTCAACATTTATCCAAAAAAAGCTACTTGGTTTTATCTGCTTTACTACAGGAAAAGTTTGATAAGGCTGCATGTTAAGTCATGCTGACTCACAGTGAACTAAGGTAAAACAGACACTGGCTAGGTACTGTAAATGTACACCATTAAGCAACTGAGTTCAAGCTCTGACTTGCTGTGAAATCAAGCACAAAAAAATTGCACCCAAACATTACATCTTAGCAAGCATTAAACCCACCCAGACTGCAGGCAACAACAGGAATTTCCTGGGAAATCTTTCTAATGGTTATTAGGAGTAAAAGAGGCCAAATTTATACCAGTTCAAGTGTTTAAAATAACAGTCCCCCAGGAAGAAAAAAAAGTCTCCAACACTGTTGCAGAACATGGATTCACTTGGTGTGAAAGAACACTGTGTGACCGCTTTTTACTTGGCACCCATGAGAAGTACCATAGCAGCAGTTACCTGCTGGCTCCCCAGCATGAGCAGATGCTCCAGCCCTGGGGTCAGGCTCTGCCTGGGTTTAGCCTGCAAGGTGCTGGCTGCAGGCTGATGGGCAACCCAGCACACAAGTTCAGCTATTAGCGCAAACTGGAGATTTCAGACGCAAGACTTTTTTGGGGTCAGATGCTGAAGACACAGTGAATGGATAGTGTTACTTTCAAGTAAAAAGTAAGTTTTGGGTTTTTTCCCCGTAAAAAAAGTAGTGTTTATATTCTCCCCCCCTCCCCCCTTAAAGCATGCCTCTCCACCTCACCATGAATGCTTCCCAGGGGTTTTCAGCTCATTTACGCTAGCACAATGCTGCAATAAGATTTGCTGGACACACACAAAGCCAAACAAGTCTCAAAAGTGATCTCTGTTTTGGAAGACTAACCAAGTCCAAATTTGGGCTTAATCAGTTTGTCATGTTCATCTGAAAAAGAACCACCTCTATTTTAGCAAAAAAGATGTGATCTGTAGCTATCTCATGGCATCATTTCCAGCGCCATCACTATTTCAAACTGATAGTTTTGCATCCTGGCTACTGAAGTGACCACCTGCCTCTCACCCTTGCCTTCACCTATTACCGCAGCAATCACAAACTCTTCTTGAACGCTAAGAGCCAGCTCTCAGCCTCTTCCCCAGACTCCCACTCCTGTTTTAACACAGCTGAGTGTCAGCGGAGCGCCACAAACAGCTTCATGGAAGCTATTTGGTAAAGTGACAGAAAGCAACACTAGCTACTTGAGAGAAAAATGTTTTAATGTTTTTCTAATACAACAGGATATCAGCACCGGAACTGTGACAAGCATGCAGTAGGTCTGCATAAGCAAGGGTCACATATTACATTACTCACAGGGGTAATCCTATAGAATTAAGATAAGTATTTTAATGAATAAGTACCAAGAGTAAATGTTTACCTGTTGACTTTGTAAGTATTTGTGTACTTAAAGCATTTTGGTTGGAAACTGTAAAAGCCTTAACAATAATACCTCACACAGAAGTGGCTGACACCCCCATTTGAAAAAACCCACAGCCAAATTTTTTTTTTTTTTTTTTTAAATTTATGGCAGCCTTAACAAACAGGCTTTCAGTGAGAAGGAGAAAAAAAACCACCTATTGAATAACAGATGACATTTCAGTACATTTATATAGAGGTATCTCAAAGTAAGATGGATAGCCAAGGAGAGTGAACTTTAGCCTGACTAAAAGAACCAGCACAAGAAAAATCAAATACAAAAGGAGTGAACAGACTCATATTATAGAGAAGGAACTAAATCACAATGCTTAACAGTTGTAGTCAGAGTTAAACAGCCTCAATGTGACTATATTTGTAACACAAAGCTTTTGTACTTCCAACATTAACTAAAAGAGGTCAGTCTCAGGAAAGAAAGCAAAGACTAGAAAGCTTAAAAAAATATCATCACTTCAGAAAAAAATGTAGGCCAAATAAAACATAAGAGATACCTGAGCACCAGCACTAACTGAAAATGTTACACAAAGGGGGCTAAAGGTGTCCTAAATCCATTATCCCAGGAGAGTGGAACTACTTGAACTCCAAAACTATTTACTGGCACACTGAAAAACCTGTTGCTCTTCCACACTGGTACCCTGTGTGAAAGAGCACCAAGCGACACAGGCTCAGCCTACAGCACAGAGTACCTACAGGCTGTTAGCTAGTATTTATCAATTCAACAGTAAACAGTACTACCAACAATTATTTCTGCACATGGTTTTACAGACTACAGAGCATCCTATCTCCTCATACCCTGATCATCAGGCAAAGGAAATGGTAATCAAGAGAAGGCCAAACACTCCTACCAGGCAGAGAATCCTTCTGCCCTCACCCCCAACCCACCCACTTGTGCCTCTTAATAGTTAAGATTAGCAAAGACTGTAACAACTAGTTAAGTCCCTATACTGCCTTTATGCTTCACCTGGTCCAGACTGATTCTCCCCCCAGCTTCTAGAAGTAAACTGAATTCTCCAGCTCCCTCACGTTCTCTTCAACAGCAACACTGGCATTGGGGGGTGGGAGGGGTGCATTACCACTATAGCTGGATTTGACCTCCACTGTATAATAACAAACTATAAAAAGTACCTTTACCAGCAACATTCCCCAAGAGCTGGGAATCAAAGATGAAAAGTAACCATAAAATGCTCTGCTCTGAGGGGAAGGAAGAGGCAAAAATCAAGCCATTATTTACATACACACTAAAGAAAACCCAGAGCTGCAAAGATGAAGACAAGGCAGATGCACTTTACCAGTACTCTTTATCAGTCAAGAACAACTTAGTCTTGGCAAGACTAACAAATAAACACGTCAGGAATATGCACACTAGAATGACATGCAAGAGCAACTAAATCCAAATCTGAAACAGTTGCAAGGTAACAGGAACCTGTTCTTGCTTGCTTTTTTCCAGTGCGTGTGAAAATCCTGTGCCTATATGTTCAAACTGGAAGGCACCCCCTTCCTCCAAGGGGCAACTAACTTCCAAAACTTCTCTGAAGTCTAATAGGTATTAATAATATTAAAACAAGGAGTCACTCTTAGCTGGTAAAGGCTGCTAAAGGGGGGAACATTTTGAGCTTACACAAGAGATCCTCCTGCCACACACTGTGCATTCATCCATTCTCACATTAATCCAGTAATAAACTTCTCTTGCATGTCTGAAGCGAAATGTGGCTGCATGCTAAGATGGCTGCTTACCTCTCCATCAGCTTCTCTTTATCCCAGTTGAAATGGCTAAGCAGTATTCGAGTAATAGTCGCTGGATTCTAGAGAAAGAAAAATAATAAATGAGTAACTGCTTGACCAGGTTGGTATACTGTTATGAGAACACCAAGCAGGATTTCAATAAGCAAATGGGGAAATCAGTGTGTCTGATAACATGTATTGTCTGCACAGATTATGAATTAACATATACTGGAAATAGTTTGACTTGACAGATAGAAAAATTTAAAAAAAAACCAAAAAACACTCTATAAAGCAAAGCATCTATATAAAATGAGAATACAGCCGAAGACTTAAGGAACAGGTTAGTTACTGCTACCACAACGGATGCCCAAGTACCACCATCTCTACATCCAGCATGCTTACACAATGTAAACACAAGATGTTCATGAAATGCAGGAAGGGCTAACAGCCATCCATCCTATCCCTTTTGCCACAAGCTCCACACTATTTGTAAACAAGAGTATTCTTTGTTTGTCCCAGCCCCGACCACCAAAACACTTGGGCTGAAAACTCTCCCAGAAAGTAACCAGCTGCCAGCGTACGATGACAGTGTCCTTTGAAATCTCCAGGTGTTCCCAAAGCACCCCAAGATTCAGAAAATACTATGCAATTATACAACTAAGAAGCACAGCCAGGTGCTGTGGTCAGAAGGTCAGAAATAGGACTGGAAAGAAAAGCTGGTTTTCACTTGTGTACAAGTTTTTCTTCCAACTAAACCTGTATCATCAGCCAAGGGTTTGGTTATATGAGCTGAGAAACACAACAAACCACATGGCTTCTGTTACACCCCAGAACCATGTTTTAGCTCCCTAAATCCAAACTCTCTGGGCTCAGTTTCAGGACCATTTACATGCAGCAGAGGCAACAGCGAGCACCCTGAGAGTGGCTACGTGTACTTTGCCATTTGACACCAAAATGGAAGTTTGCCTTAGGGCAGATTTTCAATGGACACGCTGAAGCTGTTGAAAAGTAGGACATAAACTAGCAATGTGCTTTTCTGGGCCCAGGAGCTATAGCTACAACTTGAAGCTGCCAAAAGCCAATGCTGCCACCCAAAGCAGTGACCCACCCCCATCCTTATCCTCAGCCACACGCTTGCATGGCCTGCACTCACCAATCCATACTAGTATATGCTTCAACACTGCAAATTACTGACTCAGAAATGGATCTTTTTTCCTCTAAGTTGTTTTTTCACTGAATCAGTTCCCCAATCTGTTTGATTGCCTGACCACACGAACAGCTGCATTAGCACAAGGGAGAAGGCAGGAGGGGACAAGCAGGACAGCATCTTTCAGCAGGGACACCAACAAAACCTTCACTGAAATAAAGCCCTAGGGTCAAAATGTAAGCACAAAGAACTAGTCTTGTAGTTTATACTATAAAAAGTGACACTCCTCTCTCTCTGCAGTGTGTTCTTACTCTTCTTATTAATGCCAGCACAGCTTGTTCAAGGCCAAATTAAGAAATTTTTCCAGCTTAAAACACCCATGTGAACAAAAGCAGCTTTGGAAAGGTTAGACCAGATCCCTGATCCAGTCCATGTGGAGCCCCATAAACAGCTAGCAGCCCCATAAACTGCTACACAGTGTGGGGCAGAAAAACTAAAAAACAGTATTACCAAACACTCTGTATTATGAAAACGTGGCCCCAGTCCATCTTTGAACAAATCTCCCAGGTGATACAGATCCAAGCTCCTAACTGTAATAACACGAGGTGCTTGGCTGACAACCACATGCAACTGGCCACTATGAAACAGCAAGGCAGCACCCCAACCTTCAGCATGCTAGCAGGAGTTGGGATAAAAGCGCTGCAGCCACCTGCTAAGGAAGCAATCCCGCTCTTGGGCAGATCTACCCATTTCCTTGCGTCGAAAGTGGTGATGGTACAGTTCCAGGACAAGCTGGACTAGCTCACTGCTCTGATGGAGTTATTTTCCCCTCTCTGTAGCTCTCACCCAAAGTAGCAAGCTGATACACCTCGCTGTGCAAACGCAAAGCGGATACACCGAGTATATACCCTGAGGCAAGTGTGAGAGGCTCTTCGGGAAACAGGACAGTCTTTGCATGGTTTGTATGTCCTGGAGAGCTGCATCCTCACCTTTTGCCCTGGCAGTGGGGCCAAGAATTGCTCTGCCCAGCCAACACGGCTCAAGCTGCTGCATCCATGTAGCAATCATGCTAAACCAGCATGGAACCCCATTTAAAGAAGAGGGGGGATCAAGAAAAAACTTTCTGATAGCATCAATCCCTGACCAGCCCAGCGCACAGAGCTTGTACCAGCACTGCACACAGAGGGAAGCAAGCAGTTGAACTGTTTCAAGTCAGTCCTGCCACCAAGAAGCTGTATGGGAATTTAAGGGTCTCCTTCACCAAAAAGGCTACTCCAGCTTCAGCGAGGAGGACTACAGCCTCTTTCAGGGCTTTAGTTTTTGATCTTTCTAGGTTACTTTGTATTTGGGTCTCCACAACATCTTTTGCTGTAGTACTGTCTGTATTATGTAGCAGTACCTAAAGGAGCTATTAATAGCTCACTTAACACACATGCTTCCAAAAGCAAATTAATCACAGATGAAACTATACTTTAGTAAACAAACTGATCTTGTCTCTAGATTATCTTGGTTATGATACCAGCTTCTATAGTCAGTACAACTTTCATTTAAAAAAAAAAATTCCATAGTCTAGGACAAGTCTTGCCTCAAACCGGGAAATCTGCTAAACACACCAGGCAGATAGCACTTAGAGGTTTCTCCATGTAATCCCTCCAGCACTCTCACATCTATAAAGCACATTATTTGAGCCCCTCACCCCTGCCATGCTCTAGAGTTACAAACAAGTTTCAGACAGTAAAGCATGCAGCTCTTCTCAAACACAAGGATTCTTCATTCAGCCCAGAGATCTGTCAGATGTACAAAGAAACAGTATTTTCTTTTTTTCTCAAGCAACAGCATTAAGAGAGCTTTAAATTAGCCTGAAGTCTTGTCCTACTGTCTGCTACAGCAGCCCACTTGGCCACTGTATTAAGGTTTCTGAGAATACCTATTAATCACTTAATAGACTAAGAGGCAACTGAGGTAGTGGTCTCTGGCTGACTTTTCTTCTTTGAAGAACACAGACGGGTTCCCTCTGCACCGAAGAATAAAATTGTGCTACGTTAATAAGGAACTAAAGTGTTCTGCAGCAGTTATCAAGTGCGACAAGACAAATCCAGCAAATACCACTCACCAAAGGACACATGGTCACAAAGAACTAGAGGGTCTCATTTCATTTGTGGCTTCTCCATTTCCCCAACGAAGTGGCACTGCAGCTTTCCAAAACAAGTTTCCCTAGATCAGACCCCACCAAGTATCCCAGCATCACAAAAAGAAAGCTGTTTTCCCACTGTGATGGCAATGTATGCAACAGCATGTTATTAAGGATTATACTCCAGAAACTAGCACTGTTGGCTCCGTGTATTATAACACAAATATGGTGTGAGGCGTAGCTTTTACCGGCTTGTGGGCTTCAGCTTCCTCTAGCTGCAACAGCATTTGTTCAACACATTAATTTTAAAAAAGGAAACACCAGCAGCATGACAAGCTCCTACCAGAAATATCTGGGCTGCCTGCTTTCTCCACTTGCCACATCCAAGATCTAGTATTTAAAACTTAACTAGTTGTTTTGCTGATACAGGAGGTAAGGATTAATACAATTGTACCCCTGCTCGTACGCAGTGTGGACAGCAATACAACCTGAGCCTGCATTACACACAGAGGACTGAGGACTGGGACGGAGGCAGCACTAAGATGCTTGGTTTGCATAATGTAAACCATGGTTAAATACAAATGCAAAAACCACTGGCATTAAGGATTGTTCTAATTTAAGGTGAGGCACACCACCAAGGTACCAGGTAACAGCTGCTCCACATTAATTGCTTGCATGCACACACTTACCTCAAAATTATTTGAGAGCAGCTTTGGAGGACTAAATCACAACATCTATCACAATGAGATGTTAACTGCTGCACAGCAGCTATGTCCTGTAACTCGGTCAGATGGGGTTAAAACACCACCAAAATAATTTTATGTTTCAACCCCTGTTTTGACACTAGTTCTGCTACAGCACTGTCACTGCTGCATGAGCCCTCAGCAATCACTCTGGACACTCACTCTGCCCAGCACTACGAAAATTAACAGAATATTTAAACACCACCACATTACAGAGCACTCGTATATTATAGTTTATGTTCTGAAACTGGATGGGCTTCTCATTTGGCACACAGGATTATTGTCTACGATTCTTACACCCCAAAGATTAGTTATGAACAGGCTGCTACGCTGCTCAGATGGGATTACTACTTAAGCTTGAAGCTGCAGCGGGGAGACACGTGCTTTTACATAGGGTATTTTCTGTTTACAAAGAAAAATTTTAGTAAGTAAAGCAGCCAGAAACAGACAGTGAGCAAGGGAAAAAGCGCACACATTCAAACACTCCATTTTCCTCCAAATGTGGTTTGATGAAAGCTGAAACAGTAGATATAATTCACAACAGCCACCTATTAAATTTTACATGATGAAGCTGAGGAAGATCGCCTAGAGCTCAGGGCAGCGAGCCTGTTGATAGCCTGATAGGAATGAAACCTGAGGAAAGCAGCCATTTTGTTGAAATTTTCGGGGCACTTTAGAAGAGTACCTGTCACAACTGCCTTGCTAACAAAACATTCACAATAAAGCTCTGCCCAGAGAGAAACACAGTCAGTCCTTCAGCAGTCATTTATTTTAGGTTAACAAAGCAGCCAAGTCCCAAATGTGCTTCAAACAGATCCCACTTCACCACTGCTTTTCAATAGAGGTATTTACACTTACTATTGTTACCTATGTTGACATGCTCAGGCACACCAAAGCAAGCTGGAGATACAGGGATGGGAAACCCTGCAAAGGTCTGCATTTCTCCAAA